TGTTTGAACATCTTTATCTGTAAACATCACTACATACGAGAATCCAAATGTAATAATTTAAGTAGCAGTTTACATTAACCGATAAATTTAGGACAATACGTTTACATCAATCTTATCCGCATACTTGTAGAGATGAATGCTATAAGGATACACACAATTAAACTGTGAAGCACGCTAGGATGCTGACACATGTGGAACTCTCTCTACTTATTTGTTTCTGACCAACATAACAGTCAACAAATTTTAATCCTAAAATAGATATCTGGGGTCATTTCATCATCAAGGTCGTCATCCAATTATCTTGGTGAAATTAAGAAGTCTATATGAAGGAACTCATCTGTGCTGTGATTTATGTGATGTTTTCATCACTCTGTTCCTAATACTTTTCTAATATAACAAAACCTAAACTGGAAGATATATGCATGTATTCCTTATTATTACTAGGAAGTAATTATTGGAGTTGATATCGATGCTTAATTTGGTAAAATAAGTAGCAATAAGAAATCTTTATATCATTAGAATGCTGTTTGCTTGGTTGTGGAAGTGTTTTTTTCAGGCAAATGGTGGATTGCAGAATCAAATGTTGTTGACATGATGATTCAAGAGAGGTAGATGATTGCAGTAATTTGGTATGACTTTTGTGCCTCTGTGTAGATGAGAAAGTTTAACATATATTTCTGTGTATGCATACTTGTGTACATAAAAATGTTATTCTTTGATTAACACATTTTCTTTATGAAAGTTTAAATCTTTATACACTTCATTTTAAAGTTGGTATTTGTTAGTGTTTTATTTTAATGCTTTTTTTAATCCCTTGTTTAATATTTTTCTTGGAGTCTTGTGGGTGGTGCAATATGTTTATGAACTCTGTTACTCTTAGATTCTCATTTATCTGATCCAATATATCTAATGGTGAATATAAGCATTATACAATGTACCTTCACGACTATTAAAAATCTCTTGATTTCACATCGTAAATCGTGCTAGAGAACATAAATAAGATATAAACTAGGAAAAAAATTGAATAGGAGAAAAAAAAGACAAAGGTTGTTCACTTGACAGCAGACCGAAGGAGCAAAATGCTGTTAGGCCAAATTCCTTTCCACTTGATGACATGTTGTCCATTTGTTTCTCTCTCTCTCTCTTTTTTTTAAAGATTTTGAATATGGGGGAATCAGCCACCTGTTGAGAGTCCATTTAACTAGAGGATTTAACCATGTGAGGATAGGTTGTGGACAGCCATGGAAAGGTGGAATCTCTTTCACTATTCACGTTTTGTTAGTCAAAATCCAATACTTAAACTAAGCTTGTTTTATTGAGTGTCGGTCTGACTTCAAAGGGAAGGATTCTAACTGCACATGTGCCATGGGAATTGTTTAGAAGGAAAATATATGTACCATGAGTTGTAATAAAGTGCTGTTATGTATATCTAAGTAAAAAACGAGAATTGCATAGTGCTCGAAAAAATTGACCTAAGTTTGTTCAATATACTATTTAATACTGTCCTAAGATGTCTATTTGAACCAAGGGATTTTTGAGTGAGTCAGGTTTTCAGTATTCTTTGTCACTAATGCACGAATATTTTGTTGACCGTCTCGAATGCACAATTTTGAACCTGGGGATTTTAGAGCGAGTCAAGTTTTTAGTATTCTTTGTCATTAATGGACGAATATTTTGTTGACCATCTCAAATGTTTAATCAAGAAGCTGAACTTGTTTTGAAGATATCAAAGTTTTTTTGTCTTTCCTTCATGCAAAAGCTGTGTGTGGAGTGTGGACTAAAGCCTCCCAAGTTTCTTAGAGTTTGAACGGGCATGCATTTTTGTATATATCTACATCTAAAGATACTCATGATTAGAGAGATTAAAACTAACACAATCTTTTAATAGATGGTGAACTGATCATATTGACGAAAAAGTTTAATTTAGTTGGTCTCAATTTGTTAAGAACAAAGTCATGTTCGCTTGTGCTTCCCATGTTGTGCATCATTACCTTTTGCTGCTTTTTATCAGTTCTAGGATTTAAAGTAGCAAGTGAATGCTGTAAATTAGTTTAGAATCTAGCAGAAATGAATTACCTGGGATAGGTCTTTTGTGCAAAAAAACATAAAGCAGCGTGCTACCATGTGGCAACAGTAAAATTCAAAGGAAATTTATATTATTCGAAAAGAGAAAAAACGCAGCCTATTTTGACTTGACACTTAATGAATCATTTTATTACTATTCTCGAGATCCATTTAGATACAAGAATGGGCAATATTAAAAGAGAGGTTTTTTTTTTTAACAATTAATCAATCCCGTTTAATACTACTTAGTGAATAGATGGTAAGTGATACAGACAATGAAAGTTTATGGTTATCTAGTTGTAGGATTTTAAATAGTCGAGCCAATATTTTAAGTTCACTTATAGTTGAGTTCGGCTCGCGCTCTCCCCAAGTGTATCGTCTCACTTCGATATTCATTGAAGTATGACTTGATTTGACCCACGAACTCACCTTTTGGTGGGGTGAGCTGAGTTGAGATGGCTCATGGCTCGTCAATATTTTTTAGTATGAGCCAAAATTATAAACAATTTGCGAGTCATCGGCGATATGGCTTGCACAAGTGTTTTGCTGCTCAGCTTGCACTTGAAGCTCGCCTTGGGCACGAGTTGAGTTGATAAGCGACTCGCTCCACTTTTCACACCTATCTAGTTGTGTCTTGAACACCATTCTTGCTACACCAATAAATTAAGTGTTTGTGCATGAGTTATTTATTTGAAGAATGTATAGTTAAAGAGTAAAGAAAAGTTGCGGAAACATGAAAATAATTTTTGAAAAATGTATGGTTGAAAATTGCGTGGGATTAAAGTGATTTTTCAAAAACAAGGTTTAAATTTTATTTATGATGAATTTAAAGTCGGCTAGTTTATTTCTATGAGTTTGTTGAGTTGCCCAAATTGCTATCAGTTTGTTTCTCTCTCGATCTATTATATTATTATTTATTAATACTTTTTATTTTCACTTGGTTATGCTAGATAAAGCTTTCGTTTTACATCTTGATAAATGGACAATAAAATAAGGATAAAATTTATTGGATATAAGCTGGAGCTTTATCGATGCTATCACTTACCGTTAGACACGAGTATTAACTTATAGCCAAATGGCCCAAATCCATAGCTTAGCTAAATTTATACTCTTTTGAGTTCTTGATTTCACAACTCACAACTTCGGATCTTGCCATTTATATTAGATCACTTGAAAGTCCACAACTCAATTTTGATACCTAGATTCGTGCCATATTCACCCGTCCGCAGATGTTCGTTTAATTGGCATGTTGCCTGTGTGTTAGATTAGTTTGTTTCAATTTATTAGAATGAAGGTTTAGGACCCGTATGTCATGGCTTATGTTTTCATTTTTGTTTCTTATAGAAGAGCTTGCTGAAAAGGTTTCCTAATGCCAATTTCCTCTAAAAACTTTTCTAACCACACAAAATACTTTTAGCCCCTGTTTGAGCCACATTATTTTTGTCATTCTTAATCTTATTGTCATTCTTCTACTTATTTTTAACCACGCATACTTCAATAATATAATATTTTTCATCACATCAATAAATTTTCTTTCTTTTTCAACCACATATTCCCCATCACATCAACCAAAAAAATGCATTCTTGGAACAAAAATGTGCACCAAACAGGGGCTTAGTAAATATTGAAACATGTTTAAGCCCATGTTTGACAATCAACATTTCAAAACTCTTTAATTTCCATATACACTTTCAATCACACATTTACACAATAAAATATTTTTCACCTAAATTCAATTTTTCCCTACTTTTTAATCACATATTCTCCAAAAAAATCAATATTCATAATTCCATTTTTACAAAAATAATGACTATCAAATAGGGGCTTAATAGTAGCTTTTGAGTTTTCAAAAGTTATATCAAATGGGTTTTTAATTCATATCTAGCTCCTGTTTGGCTTCCATTATTTGAAATTTTAATGGTTAGAATAGTGTTTTTTGAAAAATGTGTGGTTAAAAAAGAAGAATTTTTTTTGGAATTATATGTAATATTATTTCATTGGAGAATGTGTATTTGATAAGAAGAGAGAGAGATGAATTATAATTTTAATTGGGGCTAAAGAGGCTATATTGTTTTTGCGTTGTAAAGAGCACCCGAATGATCGACCAAGCGATTAAGCGAAAAAATAAAAATACTTTGCCTTAATATAATCAAATTTTAATTCATGAAGAACTGTTTATCTTATCCATTTGCATTTTTGCACGAGGAGATGAGTCTGTTCGTGTCAAAGTCAAGGGAAAACATGTACTAGGAGGAACATAAGAGACATTTTCACTTGTTCAAATGTAGGATTCACATGTCTGCCAATTATACTAATAAATATTAACATTTTTTTTCTAATTTTAAATTCATAAAATGAATATAAAATTAAAGAAAAAAGAAAAAAGATGGATTCAGTATCCTGCATCACTTGTAAGACAGATCTGAATAAGATTATTATACGTATTTCATAATTTAAAAAGAACCTTATATGGCTGTCCAATTTGCATAACTTTGTTTTCAACTCAACTTTTCTACACAACATGCACATAAAACAAGCAGTCTCCATTGAATACATAAGTAAATTAATTAGATAAGATGATTCAAGATAGAATCATAGCAAATTAAGATCTCGACTTTAAGTCTCATAGTCATTTATTTATAAAAAGAGTGCACATTTTCAAGTTCTCGAAAAAAAGAACAAGTCAATGTGAGGAGGTGTCATGGATTATCTGAAAACTAAGTTTCGTAGGCTCGAGTTATGTTTCGTGTCATCATGCACCCAGTAAGATGCTTTGGTTACTGTCTGATTTTATTTACTCTCTAACTTTTTACAATATTTCAAACTCAGATAATCCATCTCAAACTGTGCCACGACGTGGTTCAAGAGTCTTCTATATAAAGAGTTAGCACATTGCATGTGCGGTCTACGGTTGACCAGATAGAGGATACTCTCCCATGGCCTGCTTAAACCTGGTTAAGAATGAACAACAACAAGGCCTCTACAATCCAAGAATCTCATTCTCCAGTGATTTTGCTGATCCTCAACCAGTGATGAAGCAAGAAAACAGCTATAGAGAAGCCCCCGTCTCATCCGATTTTGAGTTTTCTATCTCTAACAACACCATGATTTCTGCAGATGAGCTTTTCTTCAAGGGCAACTTGTTGCCCTTGAAGGAAAACTGCACTAAAACCACCACCCTTAGAGATGAACTCCTTGTTGACGATGACGATTATAAGAATGTATCACCAAGATTACCTAAAGGTACAAGCCTTTGGAAGGAGAGATTAGGTCTAAAGAGATCTCACATTGTACCTAAGAAAGCTGATAAAAATGATGGAGTTGTGGAAAGAACTGATGATCTATTCCATAAGCAGATTTATGCCAATTTGAAAGGTAAAGTTGGGATCTTCTTCTTATTCTTAATAATTTTCGGGTCGGCTATATAAATCATTTTTTTGTTGAATCATTATGGAACAGTTTTCTATATCGGTTTGATTTTTTTTGTAACAGGATCCAACTGGTGAAGATGAAGAAGTTTTTCGTCTCTTTTTTTCTGCTGGTGTTACAAAAACATGCTGAGATACAGCCAGGGATTTGTTGATTATCATCCTTCATCTGGGACAAGTGGTATTTGTGTTGATTGTTTATGTTTGAACAAATGTTTTGCAGTTTAGTACTTCTTGTAATAATTAATATGTATGTGTGTGATTTTTCTGGTCTAATTATGCTATATATGCATGTGTATTGTCATCTTAAATTGGATTGTAGAGTTGATTATCTGTCAATTTCTTCTGATGCATAAGAAATTAAAGAGTTCTCAATTATACATTGGAGGGGTATCGAAAGGATCTCAAACTTTCGGGTTTATTTGATGTGCAATATTAGATGTTATGATTCAATATAATATACAAAAATTAACTTCTTTTTTCCTTCAACTCAATCTTGTATTGTATAGCTTACGAACTCGCCACTAAAGAACCTAATCAATCTATATCGTGACATAAAAAAGGTCCAGGCCGTCGTGGGATTTGTTAGCAGATCCATTGGACGATACTAGTAGAGTTCAGCGGACTAAAAGATGAACAAAGAATCTGCAATTTCTTAACAATGAGATGTATGTACTATCGTTGAAAATTTTAAATTAGGTAGCATAACGTAAACATGAAATAAAAATAGTTGAACTTGGAACGGAAAACAAAATGAAGAAGACAGAAATTGTAATCTAGAAGCTAATATTATCTCAGACATGACCAGAAGTTACTGATATTTCAAGTTTGGTGTAAAAACTGTACAAAATGTAAAGTCTAGGGGTCAACTTGTAATTATCATAACAGTAAGGAGCTAAGTTTAGACAACCAGGAAATTTCATTTGTCCCTAACGATACTTCCACCCGCCAAGAGAATAAAATGACCGTATATCCAACCGTATAGTCGTCCGTCATGAATCACCTCATCGTTTCCTCAAGCAACGGAAATGGATCTCAAGCCTGGCCTCTCGGCCATAGTTACTCGCGGCGCTTCCAGCATCGGAACAGCACTCGTTGTAGCCCTGGCGCAGAAAGGAATTTTCACTACAATAATCGATTTATCAGAAGATAACAGGATAGGAAGTTGCATCATTAGCCGGAATTGAATTTTTGAAGTTTAGTGCGAAACTGGAATTTCCACCGGTTGTATTCATCAAATGTGATGTCAATGACACAAGTAAGTAGTCACGATTTCAGATTATTTCCGGAAAAATCGAATGCTTTCATGTATATGATTTTATTTCACATTGAGGTTTCAGTGTACAATCATCTTGAATCCAAGCGATTTCACAATCTCAGATTATTTCGTGAATATACACACACACATACACACACATCTGATTATATTTTACATTGTAGTTTTGTGCAATCATCTTGAATCCAAGCTATTTCACAATTGCTTTCGTAAATATGATTATGTTTTATTTCAATGTACAAGCATCTCGAATCCAAGCTATTTTTAACACGATAATAAAAAATGGATATAACCAACCATTAATATTCATTATTTCTAGGATTGCACAAGGCACAATAATATTAATATCTGCTGCTGTACCAAGCCATTCACCATCAGGACATGGGACTGCAGTAGAACTACATGAAAGCATATAACTAATATAGCCAAAATCATTATTGATATTAGATAATGATTTAGAAAGCTAACACTGTACACAATAAAAATTCTCATGGTGATAGATCTTATGACCATGATATATTAGCTTCTTCTTCAAATATGAGCTCAAACCCGCCGACCTCTACCTTCAGAACAGCTATGTCATTATCCAGCGTCCTTTTTGCTTGTTTAAGCTCTCGTAGTCTCGATTTCAGAGTCCGAATCTCTTCTTCTCTGCAGTCTCGCTCAAGCCTAGCTTCTGCATACCTTTTCAATCGTGGCGTCTCTCTTATTTTTGAAGCAATATTCGCAAGATAGCTTAACCGTGAACGCAAAAATCTAACATCCATGCCCAAAACTTCAAATCCTTCTAATGTCTTGTCCCACATTGCAAAATCATCATTAGAGGTTGAAAGCTTACACCCTCTAATATTATTGGCAATTTTTGTAGTCTCTGTAATTATTCCAGCTGCTAACATATTGTTGTCACTCTTAAGGAGATCATGAAGATATGAGCTCCGAGCGAGGCAAAGCTCATAATAGTTCCTACGCACGTCTTCGGTAAGCATAGAGTCTATAATGATGTCATTAACTGTGATGTGGAACTCCTGAAACTCAACAAAAGATCCTTGTAAACCACCATCCGCATTTTTGCACGAGGAATCCTCACCATTCTTAGACTCGTCTCTACCAGTTGTAAAATGGGAAGAATGAGATTTTTCTTCTCCACTAGCGCAACTTGTATTGTTCTTTCCACCTTGTGATCCTTTTTGAAAAAAAAAAAGTTGAACAATTAAGAGCACCAAGACAATAAAGACGTTGAATGGTGCGTGGCTCATATACGATATCAAAGGCAAAAATTAAAGCTCAGCTTACCAAGATCTCTTTCTTCTGCATTAGCATTTAGATTTGAATTGCAAAGGGCACCATCAATAATCTCACCTGAACTGCTTGCTTTCACAATGTACACCTGGACGCAAAGACATGATGGAGACATCATAAATTTTGACCATAAACATCGTTCACTTAACATAATATTATTACCTTAACCTTGTCGAACTGCACCAAATGAAAAACAATAACGTCGCCCTCAAGCAAGTTGTGCAGAATGGAAAATCCTTTCCAACCAGCACTTAGTGCCATTTTATCAGCAAGGTATTTTACTTCATATGCTTTGCCAGTTTCATCCTCCAAAACAATTGTTTGATCATGCTTTGGCATATGCAATTTGCAGAAACACGAAGGAATATGCTGCCCTCAGAGAAGATCACATGAATTTAGTTGCTTGGTGATTATGTGTATTTTGCTGATATTTAAAAACACTTACAAGACAGAATCCTCCAGAAACATGAGAACGCAGCATTAACTTTAAGAAGCTAGGGAATCCAGGGTCCAGTTTGGCTCGAACCTCTTTTGCTCGTTTCATTGCCAAAGAATAGGTATCTCCAGAGTTTCCATCAACACTTTCTATCTTTCGTTTGCTGTTTTATGATAAAACCAAAACTAGATTATGAGATCAATTTGCTGTGCTTCTAGTTCACCTGAGTCTTGGTTCTCATCACAATTCTATCCAAAATCAAAGTAATATTTTCTTTTCTCAAATCCCAAAATTTGTTGCTACATGAATTCACTTACCTTTTAAGGCTCCTAGAGTTCAACTGAACATCCTGTAGAATATATCAAAATAAATTCTGTCAACTATCCTTTACATCAACCAAAAAACTTTTTGGTCTAATTTCATAGATAGCATGTTTAGACTCCCACTAGAGCAATGCCTATTGGCTGTTCAGCGTATAATTATACATAAAATGACGGTTTGCAAAAAGAAAAGAAACGGTAACATCTGCAGCATTACCTTCAGACTGTTAGAAATGGTTGGAACCAAACCGCTGAGCTTGAAAGAGTTCAAGTTATTCACCAAGAACTATAATGAAATTCTGTGTACTCTTGAGAATCATTTTTTGGAAAGATTTCCTACTACTCCACACACCCCCCCCCCCCCCCCCCCNACCCTTAAATTAATAGTATATGTCTATTTGACAAGCATGAATAGCATTTCTTCTCTGCTTACACCACCCAATGGCAGATGTAAAGAGGGGTTGGAGGTTTCTCCAAAATTTGTTTTGCTACTTCATTTAACCCTGTCTGACATCCTTCAAATTTAAAATACATTAGTTTGAATAGTATTTTTTTTTGGGAGAATGTGTCGCTAAAAAAGTAGAAAAATTTTTGGATTCACGTGCACGTGTGAATGCTAAATTAACAATAATAAATATTTATTTGTTAAAGTCGATAATAAATAATTAAACCATGCACAAGAATGCTATAAAACACACACAATAGACAGAGAGATACCACATAGGAGCAATCAGTTTGCTTCCCTTTGGACCTAAAATGATGAGAGATGTTCATATAATCTTCAATTTCTGAAATGGGTAGTTCAGATTCTTCTTCGTCTTCTCTGGGTTGTTGTTGCTCAAATTCCACCGCTTCTTGTTTCACTTCATTATTTTCTGAAATGAGTGCTGCATCTTCTTCTTCTCTTTCTTTCTCCACCTCTTCTTTAACTAATTTACTCAAGTTTCCAGTAAAATTCTGTCTAATTACTTGACCATCCCATTTCCGGGTATCTTCCCTAATTCTCTGTGCACTTGGATTCATTTTTGTATACAGAAAAAGTGAAAATCTAATGGGAAGAAGAAGAATAAGAACAGTCTCCACATACTGAGCCACTCGC